CTTCCAAGGCCTTCCTCTGAAATCTTGGCAGAAGCCTCCATGACCCCCTAAATCTAGCATCCTGCATTCCTGAGGAACTAGCATCATGGGGTTGACACCAAGGTCTGCCACCATCTTGAGCAGTAGCCAAGCCTCTAGGGACCTGGCTTTTTATTCCAGCAGCCTCTGAGTGTCTGGGTGTCTGAACACATTGAAAAAACTTCCTAGGCCCTCTTATGCAAGGATTCCCCACTGGTCCCTTCTCAAGAGAATTTTCACTTTTACTCCTTTGAGCCTGAGATGGGTGTGGTTTTGCCAGGTCCTGAGATGCCCTCAAGCCATCTTTCTTATTGTCTCTGGGAAAATCTTTAGCATTTCTTTAGTGTCAGTGATGTCTTTAAAAACTACAACTTCCTTAGCCCCAGTTTTACTCCTCTTTTCAAGTCAGAAGTGTTTTAAATATTTCTGTTCTGCTTTATGCTCCTGAATATCACAATAAACTTGACTAAAAGCCACCAGCAATACCCATGCCACTTCCTATATGCTATGTTGCCTAGACATTTCTTCTGCCAGATTAATAAATCCATCCCTTTTAAAATCAGCATCACAGAGAGTCTCAGGACACAGAACAAAATGCAGATAACTTTTTAGCTAGAACATAACAAGAATGACATCTAGTCTAACTATCATAGAATACTCCTTTTCCTCTAAGCCCTCTTGAGTCCTGTCTTCACTGTCCTATTGGCATTCTGGTCTTCTGAGCTCCCACCAGAATCAGCCATTAAGCTTTGCTTACAACAACCTAAAGCACTTCCAGCTTACTCTACTAAACATTTAAAAATTCCACCCACCTATTCAAAATGTTCCAAAAACTTATCAACCACACGGTCAGACTAGTCACAGCAAAGACCCCACTTCTAGGTGCCAATTTCTGTTTTAGTCAGCTGTTTTACTGCTGTGACTAAAAGACCCCACCAGAAAAATTGTAAAGTAAGAAAAGTTTATTTGATGGCCCACAGTTTCAGAGGTCTCAATTCAAAGACAGTAGACACCATTTCTCAGGGCTCAAGGTGAGGCAGGACATCATAGAGGAAGAGTGTGGCAGAGGGAAGTAGCTCACATGATGATCAGAAAACAGAAAAAGAACTCACTCTCCAGATGCAAAATATATACCCCATAGCCACATCCCTAGTGAACCACTTCCTCCAGCCACACCCCACCTGCCTCCAGTTACCACTCATTTAATCCCATCAATATGGATTCATTGATAAGGTTAAGTCTTTGACTCAATCATTTCTACTCTAAACTTTGCATTTTATCACATGAGCCAGTGCCACTCATCTCATGACACAGATGGACACCTCAAGGGAGCACACCAGAATATCAACTCACTGGTTCCAATCATCTTACATTCCTAGAAAAGGACATCTGGTCAGCACCAACATGTCCTCTATTACTACCTCCCTTAAATCTCCATAGTGATTTATTTCCCAGGGTCATGCCCAACATAAACATACCTGTAATTGGTCAGTTTGCCCAACATAGCTAGGCCATTGGCCAAAACCCATGAGGTAGTAAAAATACAAGTAGATAGGCAAACACCATGCAATTCAGCTCACTGAGATGATTTGTCTTTATCTTCCTCTCAGAGTGGCAGCCTACCATCTGTTCAGCTTGTAACTGCCATCCATAAACCAAGTAGTTAATCAGTTTAGAGCTATACATAGAGCACTGCCCAAATGACAATGGAAGTGGACATTTCCTTGGACAGTTGCAAAGGCTACCTGCTTGTAAGTAATTGCTTGCATTTATCCAGTAATACATTCCTGTATAAATCATTTCCATTTCATTATGGAACCTATCTAGGTACCCACCTCCTCATTTTTTAATTTCTCTGACATTACCTAAGACATTATAGATATTTCAGGTTTCAATATTATTGTAAGCACTTTAGCCTTAGGGGTAGTGTGTTAATCTTTTCAGGGTGTTATAAAGAATACCATAAACCAGGTAGATTATAACCAACAGAAGCTTATTTTTCACAGTTCTGGAGACCAGGAGGTCTAATATCAAAGAATCTGATGAAGGTCGTTTTCACACATAGTGCCTTCTTACTGTGCCCTTACATGGGATAAAAGGCAAAGCAACTCCCTTGGAGCCTCTTTTATAAGAGCATCATGAGGGCAACACCTTCATACTCTAATCACTTCCCAATGGTACCCTTTCTAATCCCATCACGTTGGTGATAAGGTTTCATCATATTAATTTGTAGGAGGATAAACCTTCAGATCATACCAGACTATTTCAATTAATAACTACAATCAAGAGAGTAATTATCTCTCAAATGGAAGTTTTCAGGACTAAAATTCCGGTGGTCACTACAGGTTGGTGATCACAAGTTTTTTATTTAATTTGCAGTCTGTGCTCCACACAGCACTTTCATACAGATTTGTGCATACCAGTGTCCCGATTTCTTACATGACACTTTTTTTTTCTTTTGCAGTACTGGGTATTGAATCTGGGCATGTTATACCACTAAGCTACATCCTCATCCCTTTTTCATTTTTGATTGAGACAGAGTCTCACTAATTTTTCTAGGCAGACCTCAAGTTTGTAACCCTCCTGTCTCCTGGGTAGCTGGGATTAGAGATATGCATTATCATGCCCAAAGTAGTAATCTCTTTTTGTCTACCCAGATATTATATGCCTGAACATGGATTTTAGCTTTATGAGGGCAAGGATTTTTTTCACTGCTATATTCTTAGCACCTAGAACAACCTGGTACACTATAGATATCCAATAAATATTGCCAAATGAATTAATTTAACAAGAACTAACAATGATTGTTGGTAAAAAATGAACTATTTAATGTTTTATCCAAGAGTCTCTGAGTTGATATTTGAATGGTTGTATAGACCTATAGGAATGCAAACATCAAGTTGAGATGTAGTGATGTAAAATGTAAAAGGAGGAGAGGTAGGGAATACAACTGAGGGTAACAGAGTGATCACCATAAAAGTTTCAGACAAAGTACTCACAGGGATATTTTGATTAAAGACAGAGAAACAGAGTTGTGAGGGGTGAAAGCCTATATAATTTAGATTCAGAATTTCTTGACGCAGAATTTCTTTTGCTGGTACTTTTGCCAGCTCAAGAGCCCAGGACCAGTATTCTTGTCACTGAACATAAAATGTTCTGCCAAGAAGTTTTTTCAGGGCCCTCTTAATATCTGTGTTTCTCAAGCTATAGATGAAGGGGTTCAGCATGGGGGTCACCACAGTATACATCACGGAGGCCATCATGCCCTTCCAGGAAGATGATGATGCTTCAGAACTGAGGTATACACCAAGACCTGTCACATAGAATAAAGAAACCACAGATAGATGAGACCCACAGGTAGAAAAAGCTTTATATTTTCCATATGTTGATGGAATTCTCAGGATGGAAGAGACAATCCGGGTATAAGAGAAAAGGATCCCTGAAAAGGGAACAAATCCAAGAAGGCCAGTCACCATGTAGAGTATTATGTGATTGATCAGTGTGTCTGAACAAGCTAGCATGAGAGCCTGAGCAAGTTCACAGTAAAAGTGTCGAATTTCCCAGTTGGTACAGAAGGATAGACGCAGCATCAACAGACTCTGGATCAGAGAATATGACAAGCTGATTAACCAGGATGTAACAACCAGGAGGCCACACAGATGGGAGTTCATGATGACTGGATAGTGTAGGGGATGACAGATGGCTACAAACCGGTCATAAGCCATCACAGTGAGAAGTAAGGTATCCATGCCTCCAAAAACCATAAAAAAATACATCTGGGTGATGCAGCCTGCATAGGTAATGGATCTTCTCTGTTTCTGAATGTTCACCAGCATCTTTGGGACGGTTGTAGAGATGAAACCAATGTCAGCAAAAGACAGATTTAAGAGAAAGAAGTACATGGGCGTATGAAGATAGGAATCCGAGACAATGGCTATGATGATGAACAAATTCCCAAGGAAGGTGACTATAAACATGGATAGGAACAATCCAAATAACATCAGTTGATGCTCTGAGTCTTGGAAAAATCCCAGGAGTATAAATTCTAAAGCATTTGTTTGATTTCCTAGTCCCATGTTGTTGACACATCAGCTAGACAATTAAAGAGAAAGAACATGAAATAGACACCAGACAGACTATCTCGGCTTCTTTATTTCTTCAGGTAAAAAATTGAGCATGAAATCTTTAATATTATATAATCTAGAAAACCTACATTCTGTCATTCATTATAGGCAACATTTCATGATATTGACAAATCCATGTCTATTGGCCTATGGGAGACTCACCCATTCCCTTTGTCTCTGCCTTAGAATTAACTACAAAAAGTTAGAAGGAATTTTAGATCTAAGGGATAAAACAATCCACATCTGCTCCAATACACACGGGGCCCAGAGATCTAAAGAAAGGTCTGAGTTATCTTCCTTGTGTGTGGCAGGACTGGGACTCAGAGGAATTCAGATGACTCTGAGCAATAAGAAAATTTGAGAGGAGGGGAAATATCTGAAAAAATATTTCAGGATGAGCAGGATGAGTAGGATTTCAGTTTCCAAAGGAAAGGAAGAAATAAAAGAAGAGGAGGTCAGAAGGAAGGAAGGGAGAGATGGAGAGAGGAAGGGAAGGAGGGAGGAAAAGAAAATATTTTCAACAAATGATAAACCATATTAACAAATGACTAGTAGGTGGTGTACCTGTGACCCTCAACATTCTACAGAAACAAGTGCTTTCTGCACATTTGCTACATGCTATTATACAGGTGCTCTTCACCTATAATAAATCAACTAATTGGTCAAACAGTCAAGGAAAACATAATTATCAAGGTTTAAACCATTGCAATGCCATAAGACACAGGAAAGTTCACAAAGAGATGTGGGGATTTCGGTTTGGCCCTGTTTTTGATTTTTTTTTTTTTGGTTTGGTTTTCATTTTGGTTTTGGGAGTTTGGGGGTGAGTAGTTGTTGTTATTGTTTGGGGTTTTTTACTGTTCTTGTTTTGTTTTGCGTGCTTGTATTAAGGATCAAACACAGGGACTCACACATGCTAACATTCAGCTACAACCCCAGCTCTCTTTATTTTTTATTTTGATACAAGTTCTCAATAAGTTGCCCAGGCTGCCAATATTTCTAAAATGAAAACCTGGTTATTTTATTTCCCTGCCTGAAATTTTTAGATGTCTTTCTGATGCTGTTCAGGATGATACAACAAAATATCACAACTCCATAGTTAACAAACAACAGAAATTTATTTCTCTCTGTTCTGATGACTGGAAAGTCCACCATCAAAGCAGTGAGGGACCCACTGTCTTATGGGAGTCGATTTTCTTTGTTCATACATGGCACTATCTTGATATGTCCTCACAAGGTGGGAGAGGGTGAAAAAGCTCCTTTGAGCCTATTCTATAAGGACACTGATCCCATTCATGAAGCTTCACAATCAAGATGTAATTGTCTGCCAAGAAGTCCCGTCTCTTAATACCATGGCCTTGAGGGTGAGGATTTCAACATGTGAATTTTTTTCAGGTCAGTCATTCTGAAAATATCTGGAATTCTTGATCTATCATGGGTCCACTCTGATCCTACAACCTCATTTCTCAGCACTTCTCAACTGTTACTCTAAATTCTGAACATACTGAAAACCTTCCTTGTATCAAAATGGGATAGAGCCTCTTATATAACCATGAATTTCAAGCACTCTTCCCTCTAATTTCTTCCTGTATTTCTATATTTGACACAGCTCTCCCCTGTTTAGGCTCTTTCCAACCTCATCCATTCTTAATTCCAACTGATTTCTTGGCATAGAGGATAAGTTGTATTGTTTTTGAAAGAAGAAAGGAAGAGAGAAGAGGGAATATGCTTTTACTCATTAAATAACCAGGCCCTCCTCTCAAGCCTAGGCAGGATATATCCCCAAGTTACCACATCCCAGGACGCAACAGTGTAGCCAGCCCATCTTCTCTTGCCCTTCTACTTACCTCTCACCAGGAATCCTTTCCCACGGAAACATCACCAACTTCCTCTCCACAAGCTTTGTCTGAGTCACTTACATACATGTCCCTGGGTTTCTGTTCTCTTTTACAATGAAAACAAAAGGAAGAATAAACAGAGGAATCACACATTTACATGAAATTCACAGAGAACTGTCATAACAGTAGTTCTGGTGGAATTATAAATAAGGGGAGTCATCATTTCCATTCCTGTCTTGGAAGTTCCTCAGTGTTTAAATATGTCCTTTCACTTGCATGTAGAACAGCTGAATACTTTCCATCTCTGAGTGAGGAAGTTCTCTCTCTGTGTTCTCTCCTCAAACACCACTTTCCCAAAGAGAACAATAGAAGGCAAATGGATGAGAACATTCCCTCCACTGTGTCTGGCTGCAGGAGCCTCAGAACATAAAAAAGAAAAGAGCCATGCCAGGAAAATGCACTGCTCTCTTTCCCAGTGCTATGCCAAGCATCCCCCCATCCATTCAGGTGCCTATGAGAACAGTGGGATATCAGTCTTCCACAAGTAATTAATGAGCACCAGAGAGGAGAGTACTCCAAAGTATTCTTATGATCTCTGCTGATTTGTGGAATGGTTAATGAAAGGATTGGCCTCTGAAGCTGGAATCTCTTCTCAGCTCTATATTAGGTCCTCTGAGAAAAAGATATATAGTCTACACAAACATTCAGGTTTTTGAAGGGAAGTGCTTTTACGAAAGCACTTCTCCCTTAAATGTTTCTGCTGAGAACCATGGATAGAGAAGTGGGGAAGAAGGCCAGGTCTTTCAGGAGAAACAAGGTTGTTATAAGCACGTGACAGTGACAGCAGAATTCAGAAAGGCTTGTTCTCGGATATGGAATAATGAAGACTTTGGAGTTCTTGAGTCAGACAACAAAAAAATGACTAGAAAAGAACAAGACTTTACCACAAAGCATCCATTTGTAAAACCCAGACTGGTAACTCTAACACTGGACTGTGTTATCCACAGCAATTCTGTGCTGTCAGGGTGCCCTAACAACCAACACAGAGTAACCATCCCCATAACCTCCTCAGCTACCCACCCAAATACTATACAATCAAAGTAAAACTTCACTATAAAAAGGCAAGTTTAAGCAACTAATCTAAGCATTCTACTTTCCAAGTAAATATTCTTGAGAGCTCCCTCTCCATGAATATCATTTCTTTTCCCTCATCACTTACTGGGCTATGTAGGCTTGGCAGCATGGACCCACTGCAGGGCCAACTTCCTCAAATTGTGTTCTCTGATGAAGACAGAAGATCTGTCCACTGAAAGAGCAGGAAGACAGAGCCAGGCATAAGGTATGGGGTCTGGTTGACTTCTTCTGGAGAAGGCATGAGTGTCTTAGCCTGGCACTTAAAGGCCTTGGTGACTATAAGCTGATGAGTTTCAAGTTCCACCCCGGAGGCTGTATCCCCACTGAAGTTTATTAAACAAATTGATCAATGGTATGTTCCTTCCTTGATCAGTTTGGCTCCGTAAGGGCAGGAATACACAGGAAGAAGTATCTAACTCATCAATTCCTTATTCCAGGGAGACTAACTGTAGTTCCATCAGGATTCCTCTCTCCTGTGTTCTTCTCCTCTCGGAAGAGTCACTAGTCTTGCTAGATTCCCTCTTGGTGACAAATGTCACCGTTTTCCACTTACAGTTTCCTAATCAGGCAGATGGCTGAGTAGCAAAGGGTCTCAGGATTCTCTAGGGTAGGGATTCTCAAAATTTGGCCTACACCAGGATGACCATGAGGACTTGTTTAAATTCAGAGTACTGAGACCCACTCACCCCCAGTTTCTGTCTCAGTAGGTCTGACTTTAAGTCTGATAATTTGCATTTGGGCAAGTTTCAATTTTTATATCCCCAAGACAGTCTTTTTTTTTTTTTTGAGAGAGAGAGAGAGAGAGAGAGAGAGAGAGAGAGAGAGAATTTTTTAATATTTATTTTTTAGTTTTCAGTGGACACAACATCTTTATTTTACTTTTATGTGGTGCTGAGGATGGAACCCAGTGCCCTGCACATGCCAGGTGAGCACGCTACCACTTGAGCCACATCCCCAGTCCCCAGGACAGTCTTTTGAGAAACACTGTCCTAGGATTTAGGTTTCTCAAAATCATCACCTTGGGATTTGCTAATATACAGCTTCCTACTCTATCCAAGACTTACCCTGTCAATATCTTCAGGGAAAGATCTCAGAATCTACTTTTTAAATATTTCAAGTGGTTTTTAAAATTTTTATTAATTTTTATTGTGGTAAAATATAAATAGCAAAACATGCCTTTGTCACGATTTTTCAGTGCATGGTTCAGTGGCACCATGTGTATTCACAATGCTGTGGGACGGCACCGCTGTCCATTTCCCAGGCTTTTGATCACCCCAAACATAACTTTTATTTCCATTAAACAGTAACTCACCATACTCCTCCACCTCTAGCCCTTGGAAACCACTATGTCTCTTTTTATGCCTATGAATTCCCTCTTCTAGGTTTCTCCATCTAAAAGGTGAATACATGGAGGTATTCTTTTTATTGCCTAATGATGTTCATCATTGGCACATAATCAGGAAAAGAACAAATTTTAAAAGGAAGAATTGAATTTTTATTTTACCATAGAGCATAATATTTTAGTTTTTATATACAATATTATCTAACCTCAGTATTGGAAGCAATATTAAATCAACGGTATGTTCCTTCCTTGATCAGTTTGGCTTCTTGGATCTACCTATTATGATTTCAATTTGATATTACATTTCGAGGGATCTACACATAATTATTTCAATTTGATATTATAATTTTTGCTACTGATCCAGGATTCTAAATTTTCTCATTATTCAATCTCTCCCTTTCCAGCCAACCTCTAAATACATGCCACTTGGTCACTTGTTCTCCGAAGATTATTCTCTGCCATTTACCCACACATATACACACTATCCTTTCTTGTATATCCATTGTGATTGGGTATGGATTTGAGTTTTCCTCATGTCAGTTAATGACAAACTAATCTCTCTGTCCTCAGTACAGAAATCTTCCAGTCAAGAGGGCTGTATATCATCTCTAATTATCAGAGAAATGCAAATCAAAAGCAATACACCATAATTCTCATATATTCCACTTGATCAACTATATAAAATACTCAGAGGTGAAGAGCACATTTATTGAAGACTTTATGAACTGCAAACATGAACAAATATAATGCAAGTATATTCTAGAGTTACATGAGTCTTTGTAACTAAGCAGAAGTGAGAATTTACTGGGACAATTGTTGAGTTCAGACACAGAATAGCTATGACTGAAACTTAATGATGGGGGACTCTAGAGGTAGTGGAAGACAAACTAGATAGATTCTTCTTACTGCATGCAGAAAAATGAAACTGGACCCTTATCTCACACCATATACAAAAACCTCCTCAAAATGAATTAAATATTTAATACTAAGACCTGAAACTGTAAAGCTACTAGAGAAAAAAAAAAACCTTGACACTGGTCTAGGAAAATGGTTTTGCTTGATTTTTTATTAGGGATTGAACCAGGGGCATTTAACCCCTAAGCTACATTTCAGCCCTTTTTGTTTTTTATTTCAAGATAGGGTCTTGCTAATTTGCTGAGTCTGGCTTTGAAATCACAATTCACCTGCCTTTATCTCCCAAATTGCTGGGATTACAGCTGAGTGCACTGTGCCCTGTAAAAATGTTTTTAGGGTATACAAGCAAATGAGATTACATCTAACTAAAAAAATTTTGCACAGCAAACAAAACAATCAGTGAAGATATAACCTACAGAATACGAAAATAGTTTGCAAACCATTTATCTGACAAAAAGTTAACATACAAAATACATATGGAACACAAACAACTCAATACCAAAAATAAATAAATAATTCATTTAAAAATAGACAAAGGGCCTAAAAAGACATTTTTCAAAGAAGACATGAAATGTCAAACAGATATATGAAAAATATTCAACATCTCTAATTGTCAACTGAATGCAAATCAAAACCATGTAAGTCACATGTTTTATAATGGTTATTAACAAAAAGTCAAAATATAACAAGTGCTGTTATGGGTATGGAAAAAAGGAAACCTATGTACTTTGTTTGTAGTATATCCATTATGGAATGCCATATGGAAGTTCCTAAAAATAAACACACACAAACACACACACACACACACACACACAGAATCATGTGATTCAGCAATTTCTTTTGATTGTATATCCCAGGAATAAAATATTTGCACTTTTACACTAACTTCAGCATTATTCACAATAGCCAAAATATAAAGCAACGTGTCTGACACAGAATGGATAAAGAAAATGAGATACACACACACACACAGTACCCAAGGTGTGGAAACAACCCAAGTATTCTTCAAAAGATGAATCAATAAACAAAAGATAATGTATACATACAAGGGAATATTATTTAGCCTTGAAATTTGGAAATTCTGACACATACTACAGCATGGATGAACCTTGAAGACATTATGATGAGTGAAATTATCCAGTCACAAAAGGACAAATACTGTATGACTCCACTCATGTGATATCCCTAGAGCAGTCAAATTCACAGAGACAAGAAATGAGTGGTCATTGTCAGGGGACTGTGGTAAGTGGAAATGGGTAGTTATTGTTGAATATGTACAGAATTTCATACGGGGAAAATGAAAAAAGTTCTGGAGATAGTGGAGATGGCTGCAAAACATTGTGAAGGAATTTAATGCCACTAAATTATGTACTTAAATGGCTAAAATAGTTATTTCTTATGTTGTAGACCATAATTATAAAATAATAAGGCAACATTACCTTTGCAAATTCCAAGACTTTTGGCAATCACTTACTTTTGTTTCAGAGTAGATCAGACACCAAAGTGTCTTATTGCAGTTTATTAGTGCCAGTAAATCAGAACTCTAATTTAGCCATTTTTATGAGAGTATCTCTTATCACTGGCTGGTATGACTTCCTTTGTAAATAGCATTCCCTTCTCGGATATCAGTACTGAGGAGTGAAGTTGATAGACAACTTAGCTTAATAGCAAAAAGACAAATAGCATGACATCAGCTCTATTGAGAGTTTTCCTGGACTATGTCACATCATAGCAGGTGGCATCATGAGGAAAGCACACAGAAAGGGAAAGATCACATGGTAAGCAGGACTCCAGAGATCAGGGAGGGGCCAGCCTTGCTCCTTTATAACATACCTCTCTCATGAGAACTAACTCATTCCTTGAGACCAGCATTAATCACTTTCAAGGACATTCCCCAATAATATATTTAATTTCTGGTACCCCACCACTCAAAGGTTCCACCACCTCCTATATCACCATTCTGAGGACCAAGATACCAACATATGGAGCTTTGAGTCACTGTAACCAAACCAGAGCACCCAGACTGAGGACCAGTTACATTCATCCTTACACATAACATACCTAAATATATCTAAAAGACATGAAAGTTGTATAGAAAAGAGACATGAATTCTTGAAAGGGATGAAGATTAAAATTACTTTTCAAAAACATTTGTGCATTTCTCCAAGATGCTCGGGCCATAGATGAAAAATAAAGGTTATATAGATGTTGTAGAATTCAGTTATACAGTGACTCTAATGCAGACAGCATCCCTTAATACTCCATTGATCCCATTACATCAATCCCAAAGAAGCAATGTTCATTTAGGAGATATTGAGAAAACTGAAAGACATGAGAGCTACAAAAACTACAGAACCAGATGGGCAGAGTTGGGGGACCCATAAGTTTGGGGGATCCATAAGTTTGGTTTCACTGGCTTATCCAATATGTACACT